ATTTGGCTTTCGACCAAATTTGTCGCCAAAAAGAAAGATGTAAAGTGCACCAATCATGGCTCCAAGCTCATAAGAAGAGATGAGGAATCCCAGTAGAGATGCACCTGGATTGCCGAATTGGTTAAGGAATTCACTTGATGTGGTGAGACCTCCCATGAAGCCAAGGTCGTAACCAAAGAGGAGAAAGCCAAGACCGCAGCAAAGGGTAACAGCATACACGAGGGGTTGGCCTTTGAGGCCGACAAATGTAGGTGAAGACATTGTGGCTTCCTGGCGAGGTGGCAACCAAGCTGGTAATACGGTTGGTTCGGAAATGTTGCTTTTCTGGGGGTTGAAGAGTTATTTATCAACTAGTTGAAGAATCCCAAAACCGACCATTTCAGAGTCACATGCTGCTGAACAATAACCGATAGTTTCTCTTCCCCATGGGGAAGATGTTCCAAGCTTCACAAGCCAAAATTTGATAGAACAGCAGCGTGGTACCACCGACTCCTGGCAAGGCACGGGGATAGCAGGCGAATGATGGTTTATTACCTGGTAATTCGCGTTCTGGGGTCGAGTGGGGTATACCTTGAGTAGGTAAATTCAACACCTTCGCACCCCACAATGTACCAACATCTAATTCGGACTAACGGAGCCAACACATTAAAATAAGGCTAGTCTATGTCCCTACGACCCAGATCCGTCAATCGCTGACATAATGATACTCGGTCCACTTCGGCAACTGAGATAATAAATTTGGCACTACTCGTGCCCTTCGGCGGCCTACGCCCAATTTCCCTGCTATAGCCGTTATTGCCGGCACAAGCGACGACCGGCAAATGACGTCTAGCCATGGCTTTGTCATGATTTTTCCAGCTTGCAGCGTGCCCTTTAAATAAATATCTTGTAACGGGCTGACACTGGGCATTGCACGTATCTTCTCGCAGTGCTTTTCACCATGACACGTTTCACCAATACCATAATTCAACAGCATGGAGATATTGACTCGACACCATCGCAAGTATTTGGCAAAGGCAACTTAATTCTGAGAATTGGGTAAGAGCAAAGTCCTGTGGATTATGCCCTCGACTAACGTCACATTTGGATACGTGTAGGAATGGTGGCGCAGGTAAAGCCAATGAATGTTGGTTACGACCATAATAGGACTAATATGGCGCAGGTGGAGTAGGCTTGGTCGAAGCCCTTGCAAAGGACTATCTATTGCTTCAGAAGAATCAGGGGAGGATTGAATGGATTTGCAATCATTCACGGAACACCCAGTTGGCACTTCTGAGCGGATACGTTGATATTGCCCTTACATACGAACGTGAACAAGAGGAAATCGCTGTGTCAGAGGGCTGGGCTAAAAACGCGGGTTGCATATTCCACGATCAATTCTGTCTGGTCGGCCCTGAGCACGACCCGGCCAATGTCAAAAACGCGATGTCCATTGAGGAGGCCTTTGACCGAATTGCGAAGACCCGTTCTCTATTTCACAGCAGAGACGACGGATCCGCCACTATGTGCAAAGAACATGATATCTGGCGCCGGTGTCATCGGACCCCATGGAATGATGCATCGGGCTCATCATCGTGGTACATCAAGGCTAAGCATAACCCGGCCGATGCTGTAAGCTTCGCTTCTGCTGCTGGGGCCTACACTCTCAATGATCGATCAACATTATTGGATCAAGTGAGCCGTGGTAGGGTTCGAGGTTCGACTGTGTTTTTTGAGCCAACAGACCCTTTCCATCCCCTCATGAATTCATGCTACGTGCTCTATGCACCCCAGTCCTCAGCCTGTGGCAACGAACATGTCTCCATGTTTATCAACTATCTAAAGTCTGAGCGTGGCCAAAGTTTGATTGCCAGATATGGAGTGGACAAAGCAGAAGTTCCATTCTTTGCCCCAGTCAAGGATAAAATTGCGAAGTCGTCGTTGGTTCACCGGAGGGTGAGTGATGGTCGATGGGTACTGAGCGACCAGCGACTACAGAAGCTTTAGTTTGTTTTGGATACTGTACAGATGCTCCCGTTTCGCCTTATATTACCTGATCTTCAAACCCCGGTTGAGCAGATTGTTCATTTCGTCGAATCTACCACTCCCATCTTCAAAGCCAATGCCTCAGATATCCGCTTCAATCCCCTATGGTTATACGATCAAATTGCCGTCAATATTTGCATTTGATTGTATGGTGATCAAACCGCGATCTACACGCGCGTGTCTGTATTTACTATGTGTTTTGGGGTGCGTAGCTCGCATGTGAATTACGTTATAGAAATATTTCTTTCATGAGCTCCACATAGGGGGCGGTGCTTCACTTTTAGTCGACCCTAGAATTCTCTGATAGTTACTGAAGACAACTATGGTAAAGTCAGTTCCTGGGGAAGCTTACCCAAAAGGAATTTACTCAGAAGGGTTCGATGGTATAATTGCCTGCGCAGTAAATGTTGACCAGAGGGAAATTCGAGGGGTTGAGTTGGTCACTGAAGCAATATGGGCCAGGTAGAGTCCAACAACCGTGGATATCACCAAGTAAGTGGATTCCAGGATACCGTATGCTCGATCGGTACTCGATCGGCCTTAAATGAGGTCCTTTTTAAGACAACTTCCACCAGTCAGACTCTGGTGAATCCTAAAAATTTTGAGAAGCCCAATACCTTCTGAGTCTCTAAACGCGGCTTCACATCCCGTAGGTAACCATCGTTTAAATGTTAAGTGCCAAAATTAATCAGCCAATTTATAGACTCTTTTTGACTGTTGATCTATTGCGTAGAATCGAATAATCGCGGAACTGTTTGAAATTCATTGTTAATGATGATCCTCTATCCATAACATGCCAAAAAACCCCGCGTTTTTGACCGTTAAATAACAAGGGAGGATATAGACACTGTTATTTAGGCATCGTTGGTGGCGCATACAGTAATGATGAAAACAACAACATCTTAACATAAACGGTCCTAGAAATACAGCACGGGCAAATTAACTAGAAAATTTGATATCGGCCTCCCATATCGACCTTTTTGAGCGGTGAACACCATGAGTTGTTGAGCAAAAGTAAACAGTCTTAAACAGAAGCAGATGGCGCAGTCAGGCTGAATAAAAAAACACGATTCTTGACCATCAACCGCGCTTAAGCTACAGCACAGGCAAACACGGGCTCGTTTGTCCGGGTAAATGTCACCATTTTGCCAGGCAGTTTTCACCAGGATTGTTTGACGAGATCAAAGTTAAACGGAGCTTTTCTGGTTGATGTGAATCATCGGTCACGTGGAGTTCGAGGTCCTACGGGTTCCCCCAAGGAACAGGAAATTTTTGTTCCTAATCAGCTTGAAATCATGGCACGTGATGTCGGGGCAAGAATTGGGTTAATACTACATAATCTGATTTTGTAGGGAAATACCGTAATTCACATGCGAGCCGCCACCACCAGCGAGCCGCCATCTCCAAAACACATAGTAAATGCGATAGATCACAACTTTATATCACAACAACAGTGGTCTATACTAATTTTCCCTTTTAATTCTATGGTTTTTATATGATATCTAGCTGCTTTAGGCAGTTTTAAGGAACTTAATGATTTATTGACTAACGTATATATATTTTTGGAGCCAAGCGACGTAATTTTCAATACAACAATAGTGTAAACCTTCAATTTCTTTAAAATTGCTATATGTTACTAAAAATGCTTATCAATACCTATCTACTAATATCGGAAACGAAATTAAGTTGTGGTGGTTGAAATATGAAGCTATAATTTGTCGCATTTACCATGTGTTTTGGAGATGGGTGGCTCGCTTGTGGTGGCGGCTGGCATGTGAAATACGTTAGTCTTTAGATGGTAGCGACAGTCTGATACAGTGTGTGATGGTGAGATATTTCCTCTATCAATGATATGAGAGTACCTTTTATTTGGTATGCAATAGTATCTGCATAGCGATAGTAGCAATGATCGTAGGTGCATGCTCGATACCCTCGGCATGTGTTGATCGATTCAGCCTCGCCAGCAAGGCTGAGATAACCATCCACCAACAAACAACGCAGAGTCGGCTCTCATCAAGTTGATCTTTATGCCATCAAGCATAAGTACAAATCACGATGGCTAGCCAGAGAAAGTCGCATGTCTTCCGGGTGACCGGCCTGTCGAGGGCACTGCCTGACGGGGATCTCGAGGCAGCATTGCAAGAGGCACTCGACGACAACTCCACCGATGACGAGAAATCGCAGATTAAGGCTGAGATCAAATAGTGCCTTCATGCTATGAAAGTGATACACAGAGGGTAGCACAGGTGCAATTTTTCGTTGGGGGTGCCTCGGCCTCTATGAGCTGAGAGTCGACCCTTTTGGAGACTGGCAGATCGAGATGGGAGACAATGACATCGACTTTGACTGTCACTTCTTTGGATTTACCCAGCTCTACGTGCCGGACGAAAATGAGCCAGTGGTTGCAGAGTAAACGCCTTCAGCAGCGACCTGGTAATTATTCTTCAATAAACTCGTTTAATTGGCTCCTTCAGTACTGGCATGTACAAGAATTCTTCGACGCGTTAGAATCCACTAATTGTATGCGCTAAAAACAACGCTAATTGTGCCCCCCGAGCGGACGAGGGATAGGTGACAAATAACACATGGGAAACAACAAGGATTAAGAAGAGAACATGGAAAAGCCAAATTAACAAAGTTGATTGAGCAGTCTTATAGTAAGAAGAGACAATGGCGGCCATGGGGAAAGAAGGAGGGAAAGGTCTGGTAAAACCAGATGGGCCTGTAAAAGGCCAAAACTGGTTGTGATTACTTTCAGACGCACGTACAAGAGAAAAGCAGAAAATGATAATTGGAAGAAAGCCTCTCTGCAATAATTAAGAAAAGGCTGGAAAGGGACTAGACGTCATTAAATCCAAGTCGAACGAAACGAAGAACACACAAGAACAGAAGGGTGGCTGGCCATGCCAGGTATTAGAAAACCTTGCAGTTGGTCAACCAAACCCAATTCGAGTTTCCTCAACATGGTGGCTGATTTAATTGCCAGAGAAGCCATCTTTCAGGTTAACATATGTGCTAATGGGATAGTTCAAGTTGTTAAGAGACTGATCCAAAGAGCCAGCGCCTCCAAACAGAGAGACAGTGGTGCCGATGAGACTCAGAGTATCGTTCCGGTCCATGCTAACTTCCCACCAGGCGGTGCCAGCAAGGCCCAAACACTGAACATACTCAGCCTTCAGGGCAGCTATCTCAGGAGTATCATAGCTAATTAGGTACTTCTGCTTAGCGTCGTAGCTATAGCTTCCACCGACACGAGGAACGTTGACAACCTTTGCGTCGAATTCTGGAAGGGGAAGCGCGTTGTAATTCCAAAGCCCAGCGGTACCAAGACTGCCCTGTGTGCCGCCATTAGAGAACTTATCGCCCATGCCATTAGTGCCATTGAAGACACGACCGTACAGCGGGTTCTCTAGAACGATCTTGTAGGGCGGAACCTGACCGTTGAACATGTAAAATTCAAGGCTCGAGTTTGTATCATAATCAGTTGCACGTGGATTGCGGATATCCGGGAACAAGTTTGACAAGTAGCCAGAGTAATTGCTGAATCCGGGTCCCATATAGTCCAAAGCCATAACAGTGTAGAAATCGAGATACGGGGTCATGCTAGTGAGGTCTAACATGACAGCTTTGTCCTTGTCCGCTGGAGAGGCATAGCTGATCTGGAATGGGGATGTAGCGTCTGTCTTCTCTGCCAGTTGGTCCAGACTCTGGCGCAAACGCTTGAGCAAATCCACCATCTGCGCCGCTTGACTGTGGTCTGCGACGTACTCGTAGTCGATATCAATTCCATCGAAGCCGAGATCTGCGACAAATTGGACGGCCGTATCAACAAAATTCTGCCGCTTGGTGCTAGATGCAAGCATAGGGGGGTAATTCTCGCGGTAGCTCCAGCCACCGATAGAGAGCATAGTTTTCAGATGGCGGTGCTTCTTCTTCAAGAGGAACATCTGCTTGATGTTCCCATATGCATTTTCTCCCGGCACAGTGGTATTATCTCCGGGGTACGCATACTGGAGATCCGCCCAAGTGTCACTCAATATCCTATGTATAACGTGTGTTAGCTAGGCCTACTCTCCAAAGATGTGGATGTGTTCATACACGCTGCCAGTAGTAGTGTTGACGTTAGCGAAAGCATAGACAAGATGGGTCAAGTTCTCTGCTGGAACATCAGTGATGAAGTAGTTGGCTCCGTAGATATCCTATATATATCACGAAAGCACTATTAGCTAAAATTTCCTCGGGGAATGAAAATTCAGCATGGATTCGCTCGTACCCAATTGCCGAAGTAGGCAACGGCTTTCATCCCACCGTGGATTCCACCACGATTTCCGCAAGGGATTTCAAACTTGCCATCTCTATGATAATGGCTAGACTTCTTATGCTGGCCCAAGACACCGACAACAGCGACGAGAAAAGTGGAAAGGGAGCTGAGACGCATTTTGCGATAGTGATGTTCTAGGCGAGGCCTTCAGTCTGCAATGACCAATTCAAGGAATGACTAAGGTAAGTATACAGGAGCAAGAAATGAGTGGACGGTCCAACAAACGTAACCGGGCGATAATGTGCTCGGAACTGGTGCAAATGCGACCCCTTTTATAATTTAGTGAAATGTAGGGTCTTTAAGATTACAGTCAACCTTATATGCAATTCCCCTATTGGATCCGGCAGAAGGAACACAGTTAGCAGCCTTCGGACTCCTCGGGACGCTCGATTCATCTTAAATAAAGTTCAGGAGCAAAAGTAAGTCCGGCTGACGCACCCCTGGAGCTTCATGAAGTGCGGAGACAATTGGAGCAGATTATTTACCTGGCCGAAATTTCTCCATAGGTAAAAGATTAAGTTCTACAGGAATTCCGGGTGGATATATGTGAATGAATTACTTCAATTTTAGGTTACAGGTCTGCAGATCTTGCGACCAAGACCAATAAGTGGCTTGATGAAAAATGAGGAAATATAGATAAGACATCTCTCTTACTTTTTGGTATAGAGAAACCTTTTCTTGCGTGCCTTACTGGTCACTGTCTACGTACTCCGCAACCGTAAGCACAATTGTCAAGAAGAGAAACAGGTCCTACACACCTTATTCAAAATACTTGTCATTCTATTGGCCGGCTACGGGCCTTTGATTCGAGTCGGAATCATGGCTAGTGAGCACGCGTCCACACAGTTGTGGAGTAGCATCTGTACTTTCTGGTAGAAGTTTATTTCATCGAGCGCTATGCACCACAAGCAGCGCCGCAATCCAGGAGCATAAACCCCGACTCTGTGCATACCCCCTCCATATTCTGTCGGTATTATTCGAGTCTACGATCGTCCTAGAACTTCGGGTTCCTCTTCCGCGCCCACTCCGTTATCTACGGAGTGCCCAATTTTCCGACACTTAAGCAAAACTCATCCATAGCCGTAGTGGAGCATTTACCAGCTACTTCCGGGTAGTTGCATCCAGCTGACAGCTGTTCTGTGTCTCTGCACTTGCCTCGCCTTTGGTGTACATTGTGCCCAGATGCGAACAGGGGAAAGACCAAAGATATGCGACGATGAAAGCAAAAGCTCGAAGACCCCAAGAATTTGGTGTGAACGGGCAAAATGGGTTGATTGTGAGTGTTGAAGTGGTGAAAGCGTGACTTGTTGACAAGCTTCCTACAAGCTTTGGCTGGGGTGGTGCTCATGGGGAGAGTAGACCGTAGGTCGAAGTATCTCGTAGCACGCCAACTCGCTGGCCGTGAGACTGTCATTAGAGGTCCGCAGGCATTAGACCAACTAGCCGAGGAAAGTCCAGGACAACGTCAATTGCCACTTGCTGTACCGGGATTAAATGGAGGTGGGAATCCTCCTACTATTTAAGCTTTAGATTCCCAGATTACAGGCTTGGTCCGTATCTAGTTGCCAATTGGTCGACCACGGTCAATGGTTCGCGCTTCATAGCCAATTTCGCCTTTTCACACCCTGTAACCGCTTTGTTCACTAGAAAGGCATCCCTTAAGGACGCAATCGCTGACCTCTCAAAGCAAGCAGTAGCCGCCCAATATCTCCTTTTAACGCGAGAGGAACAGCGATGGCCGCCAGGCTATATTAGGATACGAGCAGACCCTTCACAAATACGCTTTTATCCGAGACTCGGTGGGTCTGGGACGAAGCTTGATGGCGTGGAGTTCAGCGCGAACATACTGGATTAGTGTTGGGGACGGGCAAGTAGCGCGTAACACTGTGAGATGTTGGAATTCCTCGTCTGTCCACTCGCAGGACTGCGGAACCATAACAGTGTCCCGGAGTCAGTTAACGAGGTAGCTGATCTCCGTGACGCATGTTGTTCTCTATGTTAGTTCGAGTAGCTGAACGCACCGCACCACACAAACCTTCAGAATGCCTGTCCACGTGCGGCATCTCCGGAATTCTAGCGCAATTGTAGCTCCGTGCGCCGGGCTATCCAATCTTCATGGTGGCTTTAGGGACCCGTGTAATCCTTCAAAAAGCCCATTTTCAAATACGAGTCGCCTGCAATTAAGCCTTTCTACCTTAGCATCTCCACGCCGAAAAAATCGACGCCGGCGTGAAATGGCAAGAAGGGGATTTCCGAAGAAAACATAGACAAAGCCTAGTCGCAATATTTTGTGTGTGTGGAAAACGTGTGTACAATATCCCTCCAACCAATATAATCCGCTGCAGCATCGCGAGACTGGGCGTGCTTACGGTCGTAAAGTGGGGCTCATGCTCTGGGGATGTGGAGTGAGAACAACCCAATGACAGACATACCAACGGCCGAGAGATTTGTTTTAGCGGCGATAACGGCCAATGTGGACCGACAGGCCAAGCCATTCAAGTTTTATAGCGCATTACTAGAATAAATTAGGCAAGTCACCACAGTGTGTTCTTGCTATAAATCCAAACGAAGGCAAACTGTTTTTTTGCCGCATTTACCTGCACTTGGCAAATCCGAACTTGCCTTTAAAACTTCTGGTAATAACACCCTGCGCAAGCGCTGATATACGGTTGTCTCCAGCCCCATTGGCAGTGGTGGAGACCGACCAAGGGTGCAAGCTACTCCTTATTGTCTGTTATTGAAGCAGGCTGGGCTGACTAAGAGGTCTGGAGCGCGGCATTTAAGAGCTATAGGATACGGTATTAATACATTGACTTTGTTGAGTAACCGGCCGTTCATTCATGTTATCTGTGAGCGTATGATGCAATTAACCCTGGGTTGCTCGACTGTTGTGCCCGCCGTGGGCGGCGCTGGCGGGTTTGCATCCTTGTCCATACCCAAACATCGTTCGCAAGCTCGAGATCCGAACCAGTGTGCATATGGTTATCTCGGACTAGGCTAGAACAACGTGTATCTGGTAAAGAGATCTATAGAAAGGACGTGAGTGTATCAAATGATAAGTTTTCAGCAAGTATGCAGTCGATATAGGGAACGCCCAAGAACTACCTTGTCGCGGGTTGGACCCGCCAGATTATGGCCTTGCCATATAGACTCTTCCTGCACACTCCCGTTTTGCCACCACCCTAGTTATCTCTCTGCCTGCTACTTCTATTGGGGTGTTTTGCTTGTTCCTCTCCTTCTCTTCTCTAAACTTTTTGCATGATGTGAACCGGCCTAGTTAAATTGGATTGAGTCTTTCTTTAACCTTACATAAGAAAAGAGAAATAAATGCCGCATAAGGCATGGTGTAAAAGCAGATCTGAAGGCTTACATACTTTGGACGGACGTTCTCGAAAGAAAACACTATATCGGAACGCAAGCAAGCCCAGCTCAAAAAAGAAGACAAATGTGTTCTATATTAAGAAACAATAAAATCGACCCTTACTAAGTACTGGATCAGAAGACGTAGAGGTCCCTCCGTAGTGGCCGGATAGGACAATGGAAGAAAACAGAGGGTGGGAACCACCTTGGCCATGGCAGTCACAATGGAAAGCTTCGGTTTAGAAGATCATGACGACGAAACTGGCCATCACAGCGCCCAAACTGACAGTGTTGCGGCCCGCAGCACCGGTGTTGACTGGCGGAAGGATGCCGGATATAGTGACAGAGGCAGTGTGCCGGGTAACAGAGGTGTTGTGCATGGTGCTGGCGGCCTGGGGTATATGCGAGACAGGAACAAACGCCGCGGACACGGTCGGTGTTATCACAGGAGCGGTGCTGCTCTTCTCGGGTAATATGTTGGTGGTGATATCACTAATGAGGGTGGAGGTGTCGAAGCTCGAGCCCTCGAGCTTAGAGATGCCGAACTGGGTAGACCACTGGTAGGCGCCGGTGTCCTCAACAACGAGGAGAAGTCCGTAGTGAGTTACATCTGGCGTCAGCCCGGTACTAGGAGTCCAGGTGTAGTGACCGGAGTTAGAAATATTCTCGACGATGGTCTCCAGAGGCTTGACGCTGGAGCTAGGGCCGCGGAGGAGTACCAGCGAGATGCGGTCGCCAAGCGTAGGGTCCCACTTGATCTCGTAAGGCTTCCCCTTAGGTACCTGTTCGTTCAGACCAGGAGAGGCGATCGCATTGCCCTGCGGAGGCCTGGAGTAATTGGGCTGGGTGTAGGCGGCAGCGAGGGCCGCAAAGAACGAGACAACAACGATGGTGAAACGCATGGTGACTGGTGACAGTGAATGTCGTTTGACAAAGAAAGATTATGATTAAAGTGGGAAAAATAGAAAAAGGCAACAGCAGGAACGCTACGAGAACAGCGAGCGGTGCGTGGAAATGAAAGGAAAGTGGACGAGACTGGACGAAAGAAGAGGACAAGACACTCATATTTATCCGAAGGAGCAACAAATAACGGCATGGAGGGCAGTCTGCATAGACTTGGGGCAGAAGGTTTAGGGTCATGCGAGTGGATTAGAATCCGGAAGGCCACGCATGCTCTGATCGCTCAGGGGCCGCAGCAGCGCCATAAAAGTGGGCGGTCATGAAAAGCTTAATTTTCCAAGCGAGCCGTTTCTCTCTTTCTTTCCTGGTGCCTTCCGGAACGGAGTAGCTGATAGGACTTGCGTTCTCTATCTTACAGCGTAACCGCTGTGGCCGGCCCGGTACACTAGATGATAAGCTAGACTTCCTCGAAGCCTACCCGTCCGCGCGAATTGAGGTATTTAAATTGGAGACTATTAAGAATAGCTTCGCCGCCGCCGGTTTAATGCCTTATAATCCTGGTCGAGTGATCTTAAAGCTCGATATTCGCCTTCGAACCCCGACACCGCCCTCGAGCCGGGGGAGCGAGTGGGATCCAAAAACGCCTTCGAACTACGTACAATTACAGAAGCAAGCTTCCTCAATTAATGCTTTGCTAAAACAGCGCTCACAAAGCCCACCGAGCCCGCTTAACTCCGCGATAAATCAGGTTTTAAAGGCCTGCCAAATCACGATGCAATCGGCAGCTTTGCTCGAGAAAGAAGTAAGCGAACTACGCGCTGCAAACGAGACGAAGAAGCGAAAAAGGACTCGGTCTAAAAGGCAAATAGCTTCCGAAGAAGGCCTCTCAGTTTTAGAGGCCTCTTCATTAATAGCGCAGCCGGAGCAAGCAATTATAGCACAAATGCCCCGTGAGGCAGGATCGGCTCCGGCACCTTTACAGCCACGTACAAGAACCTTACCGAAGTGCAGTATATGTGGAATCCAGGGTCATAAATTGCCTACATGTCCAATAGAACTCGTTTTTAGCTTATTGAATTTAATGGCGTTTTTGTTGATATAAATGCATTTAAACTTGATAGGTTAGGTGGGGTGTCCAGCTCGCATGTGAAATACGTTACTGTTTCCTGGTATTAGTAATCAAAAGGTTATCGACGGTGATGCATAACATACCTTGAGCTACCTGGGCAGGAGTTAGAAACTGATAGGGGACTTAAGGATAGGATGATGGTTGACAGGCCCAGTCTTGTCCGCGCTTTATATACCCTTCTTGATGTGATAAATCTCTTTACTGTTTTCTGCAACGCGATATTGACGATTCTGAGCGTAAACAAATGCAGCCAGGGTCATTGGAGGCTCTGGGTCGTGAGGCAAACGCGTTTTTAGGTGCCAACTCTCAGGGCTACTTTGTGCACCAAGTTTGTACCTTCCAGCATATTTTCGCAAAGGAAATTCATAGTTCAGCGTTGCCAATGAAGTGATGGCATTGTGAAATCGACCACTAAGCGCATTTCGGTAATACGATAACCGCTGTACCGGACAAAGTATTAATGCGGAGAAATTGTACAATATGTAATATGAATGCGAATATAAATATGTCGTACATTCGCATTCCTTCATTCCTTTCGGAGCCCTAGAGACAAGCCAGCCGGTCTCCAGGAGGGCCGATTCTGATTGTTGTTCTCGGATTTTATAGGTGTCCCCACCAGCTCCTAGGCGCGAACATTGATTGATTGATTCATAGACTGTCCACAGCCGCCCTATCGAGTGAAGTTTACCCAACTAGATCATTAAGTGAGTTCTGCGCGGTCGTAAGTCATGCCACGGGGAGGGCATTTTGCTCATTTTACTCATTGACTCATGCTGTTTATTTCGACTGAGAACTTACGGTGAAGAGGAACTATTCAGAATACGACATGCACATCGTAGATCTTCAACGATAATAACACCTTGCATAACATAGTGAGTTGGTTAAACCGCCGGGGTCGAAGGAGAGAACAACTTCAGTTTTAATTTTGTAATGAACAGAAAGAAGACTGCTCGAGCCGGCTATACGCACGCACGCATACAACAAATTAAACTCAGCGTCTGTGGTATCTAAACAGACCGAGCATCGGTATAGCTATTACTCGTCGAAGGAGCTTTACACGAGCGCAGGCACCCTATCCCAGACGGGATTCTTTTGCGGAATGTAATTATACGAGCATTTCGGTTGACTGAGCCAAGTGTACTTAGTTGCGCCACGATAAACACACGGGCAAAGAACACGACCTCTGTTAAACAGGAAGGAGTTCCGTTCTGAATAAGGCGATGAGTCTCAAAGGCGCAACTATGGTTAAACCCAAACTACCACACAGAACGTAAGAAAATATACATCAATCTATAATCATCCTGTCCTAGGGGTAAGTCGTCGCCCATTTTACTGACCTAAGTGAATCAAGTATGGGGTCCTTCTGCAAAAAATAAGGGTGTACCACGCGATCAGAAGGCACATTCCGCGCAGGGTTCAACTAACTTTCTTTTGTGGGACTGTGGGTAATATAGGGTTACTTGACAGGCTGAGCCCATCAACTTATAATATGAGCTCTTTGGGCTCGTGAGAACTCCATGAGCTAAACTTTTCCGGCGCAAATTCTAAGTCGTTAGCATCTATCATTACCTCCGTATCTGTAGCTAATCGAGATATTTTGATACCACACTTCCAGGAATGGAAGAGACAAATTAGGAGACAAAATGACGTCATCTATTGCAAGACAAAGGACGGAATATCTGGGGTCGAGATAGAGTGCTGATTGGTTGATTGATTGATTGATTTACTTCACATGAACGCCGCAAGGATAGCAAAAGGGATAACGATAATAGCAGCTCCTACTCCAGGCCGACTCTGACCTCTGGATGTATACCCAACATTCATAGAGTTGTTCCCAAATCCAACTGTCCGAAGCCACGTCGGCACGGTCGTGTCCATATTCAGTACGTCGGAATGATAAGAATCCAAGTGGCCCTTAAATGTGAACCGAATAGTACCCTGGACCGAATCTCCAGTACTTGTTTCACCACCATCGGGAGTGCCAATATACCCCGTGTCATTCGCTCTCAGATACGGATATGCTGCGAATTTTCCTTCCAAAGTGAGATTGGCGGTTCTCTCGTTGAACATTGCGTTCATGAATGGTAGTTTGAAATCTGTCCAGCCTTGCGTGCTCCACCAGTCCCCTGGTAGTTGTGAGATGGCTAGTGTGTAATTTCCGTAGTAGTAGCTGGAGTTACATGTAGGCATCCAGATAGGTTCGAAATTCTGTGAAGCGTATCCAAGGGAAATGTTTTCATGTAAAGTTCCTGCAAGCGAGAAGAAATCCGAAGATTTGGTTGTTGAGATATTGAAGTGGTCTTCCACAGTTGTGTTTTCGTTGGATTGCCCAGTCGGACTAAATAGTTTTAACTATCGTTAATGTATGGGGCTGAGCGAGAGGCTCAACGGTGATCAGTGCCTACTCACTCTGAGGATTGCAACGCCCACCACAGTGGCCGGGGGTATACATCTAGTGCTAGAAGGTTCAAGTTGGACTTGTTGTAATTCGGCGGTATCAAGGTCAACATCACGTTGACCGAGTTCGATCCCTTGTTGTATGCCCCTCGGTCTAAAATGGCCAAGATCGAGTCCCATTGCATGGTTATTGTTTGGTTTCGCAGTGGAGCACATGGGGCCGTTGTCCCATTAAACCCCCTTTCAATAATCAAATCCACCTGTGTCGTTGCGTTATAGTATCTGTCAAAGGTAAGCGATCTGAGGAAACAGGATTGAGAAATGGTGGGTTACTCACGAGCCAACCCAGTCATATATTCCACCTAGGCCTGTGATATTTTGAGGGCGGAAATTCTGTGTCAAGTGGTAATTTGAATCATCTTTGGCGAGCGCAGGCACTAGTAGACCTAGAAGATAGTAGCCGGCCACCAGTGTTCTAAGAAATCCTCGCATCTTGCTTGTATGTCTCTGCGTGAAACTCAATGAGGGCTGAAAAATTTCTCCAGATCGATTTAAAAGGGGCTCTGCGGGGATGTTTAAGAAATTGGCCTCTGGTGCTTACCTCTGTTGCCAGGTAGTTATTTGTTTGTCTCGGGTAAGTCGGCTGGAGCTAGGGATGTTAATTTTCAAGGGCAATTAATTCGGAATTTCAGGGTTCGAAAATTAAGATGAAAACTAATAATAAATTTTCGTTTTCGTTTCTATTGATACCTGGGGCATAATGCCACTTTGGTCATCTTAACCAATAAGTTCAATAGCTTAGGCCAGTAGCCAATCAGGTTTGATACTAGGTTTATTACACCCAATTAGGCCGATAACTAGTGGGGGAAACCGCTGACGGGTAAGGGGCTATGCACCTTTCGAACAATGTCACATCTCTACCCTAACAAGCTTTTTGAGTAAACCACTTTACTCCACTGCCCTTTATTAGATTTTAGCGGTCCCCATAACAGAAGGTTCTCCTGAGTAGCTCAAGGTTGGTGATTTTATCTTTGACTGGTTTCTCTAAGTCCCCTCCTTTGTGCTTCCAGAATCATTTACATTGATCATTTTAGAAAGCTGAAACCCATTATTAGTCTATACAAAATCAATATTACTCGACTAGGATCTATATAGCTTAGCATAGGAAGTGGAGTGAAGTGAGTTGAGGAATCAGCCTTGATTACCGCTGTAATACAGTACCCCCCTGTCCCCCGTTGGAGGACTGCTATGTATTGGTTTTGTATGACAGATAGTCGTATTACTGGAGGGTAAAAGTATTTCTTTTGATGTTGGCCAAAATATGGGTCATTATACTGTTAGAACAAAAATGCTCTATGGACCATGGGTGACATTTTTAGTCTATGCGGTAAATCTCTTGTTCTGACATTTGAACTCTTTTAAGTGTCTGATTTAACTCGTTTGGGCTGTCTAATAGGCAGATGTTACGGATACCAGGCACCAATCGATTATGGGGCCACAACTTACTGATGGCCACCGAGAGCCAATTGGTCTATCTGTCGTCAGATCACGTGCATTGCCTTATACTCTGTGGCACCCCATGTACAGTACTCAAAGAAAAGAGGAACATGATCCTACTCAGTAGTACTCCGTACTCCGCGTTTAGTTACGACCCCGAAAGTTCGACACATACATAGCCTTGTGCGTGTCTTCTAGTCCGTAGTTCATGTCGATTGATACGGTTTGCATAATTTAAATTTCCCGTCTCATTCTTATTCACCCGACAGCCAAGGAGACATTTTGAAAGACTATAGCATACAATGAGATTCTATCTTTGCTCACGATACGAGGAGAATGACCTACGCATAGACGGATTCTTAGCGAGGAACAGCTTAGCAAGGCGTTTTCCAAAACCCTCGAAAGTCCAATCAAGAAAGTATATTGATCTACCAATTACACTAGTAAACAGGATCGTTTAGCGATCGCAAATCTCGGGGAGTATGGAAGGTAGGCCCTTTTGCCTATGGTCAAGGCGATGTAAAAAGCTTAGCCTTAAACAAGCTTTCCGGGAGACTTGGCCGCGTAAGCAGGGATGTCGGGCTAAACCCCTTTCGTGTCTAGTAATCGGTTTTCTAGCTAAATACCCCACCCCCCTTCTTATCAAGGAAATTTTAGCCGGCTCAAAAGGAATGAGAGTAATCAAAACGCATGGGTCACCGCCGAGAAGGCCCATGGGATGAGATAGGTCGTGGCGCGATTTCAAAACCCATATGCCACAGTTTGTTAAGGTCTAAAGGAGAGCGAAACCTCACGCGCACATTCCAGTTTTATGCAGCTTGTATACTTTGGACAGGGGTTGAACTTCACAAAATCCATGGTCTTACGGGATGACTCGTTGCGCGATTTCAAAACCCTTGGGTCATAGTTTGTTAGTCTAGTAGAGTGGGTATATGTCTCGTGCTACACTGTGCCCCTCCGGTACTGTAACGTGGAATGATATAACTGATATAACTGGCAGATGGATATTCAATATCGGGATTGTACATTAATGGGTGGCACTGACACCACGCATTTGTCGACGCTGATGCTTATTTCGCTTCGGCCAGTCCGAAGCTAGTAACCAAGAAACTAGTCACTTGTTAATTGGTTGTTCAGTCACACTTTTAGTACAGTCACTACTCCGTATACATAAAGCAATGGAACTGTCACCCCTTTCTTTTCTAGAGTCGTCTTTGGAAGCTGCTAAGAGTCATGTCTTCCTGGGTCAAACTCGGCCTTGCAGCTGTGGCCCTCTCTTCTGACACTGCCCTTGGCTATGCTGGTAGACTGCCTGCTAGCCCGGGCTATCAGCCTAAGCACCCTTGTCCAGGACGATGCAGCACCGCGGGACCTAATCCAGGCAACTGGTCCTTGTATCCTAACTTGGATCAAATTGGCTCCTGCGATCTGACTATGTTCTATGACTTTTCTCTGTTTGACCCCGTCGACAATTCAGGCGCCTTTCACCGTATCTATTCTTGCTCTTCTTATGGCCCTGATTGGTCAAACTTGCCCAATGCAACGGGGAACGCGTCTCGTGCTACTACCGTCAATTCGACGTATGAATTTGGCACAGGGCACGAAGGCGGCATGACTCCTGCCTACGTCCGTTCGCTGTCGAGGCAGATACGCGAGTACCTCGCAAATGGATTTGGAGCTACAAACAACTCCGTTATTCTGTTCGCCCGAGTAGGTAAGACTTCAATGGGTCTTTACATTGGCAAGGGGCTCCAAAATGAAGGCACTGGTAATTTTGCCCTGAAATCCTTTGAAGGAGCTGTTGCGTCTGCACCCCAAGGTACTGGAACCGTTGCCATGCAGCTCTGCCAACCTGGAAACGATGGTGATCATGTATTTGGCATCATGGCGACCAGCAATTCAACTTTTGAACCTATTCAAAGGGCCTTTCAGTCATGGTCCAATGCGGAATGCCTGTCTTTCAGCAATACCAGAAACATATCTGGTCCTGCCTACCTCACAACTCCTTTGGTGCTCAACCTGCCACAAACACAGACCAACAGTTCGAGTATCAAAATCAACTCTACCTCAGCCACTTCTTCCAAGCGGTCATCGACCGGACGTCTCCAGCATCGCGATACTTGCTCCTATATTCAAGTCGCCTCGGGCGATGGTTGCTGGTCTTTGTCGCAAAAGTGTGGCATTACCCAGGACGAACTTTCCGAGTATAACCCTTCGGACCCCAACTTTTGCAACGACCTTCAGCCTGGCGAGTATGTCTGCTGCTCAGGGGGAACGCTTCCTGACTTTGCCCCACAGCCCAATCCTGATGGATCCTGTGCCACATACACTGTTCAGAGCGATGACTACTGCTCGGCAATTGCTGCAGCAAATAGCATCACTACTGACGAGTTGACCGAGTACAACGCTGATACTTGGTCGTGGAATGGCTGTAACGATCTGTTTGTCGGTATCGTCATTTGTCTAAGCACTGGCACTCCACCTATGCCGGCTGCGGTCGCCAATGCTCTTTGCGGACCAACCGTACCGGGTACGCCAGCGCCACCTGCTGGAACGAATATTTCCATGCTCAATCCTTGCCCTCTCAATGCATGCTGTGATGTCTGGGGGCAGGTAAGTCTATCCTCAATCGGAGAAACCATTCTGTGTCTCCTCACCAACTAACGAATGTCCCTGTAGTGTGGTACGACGACCGAATTCTGCGTAAACACCAACACTGGTTCTCCGGGCACTGCCGCACCGGGCACCAATGGCTGCATTTCGAACTGTGGCACAGATATTATCTCAGGCGATGTGCCTGTTCTGTGGCGAACAGTTGCATACTTTGAAGGATTTGGTCTTGACCGTACTTGTCTTTATCAAGACGCCATGCAAATCGACGCCACAGCGTATACGAACTTGCACTTTGGTTTCGCCGTCCTCAACTCCGACTACTCAGTGGACACTACCTTCGGAGGTGATCCGCTGTCAACATTTGAGTTTTCCCAGTTTCTGAGAATCAGGGGCGCGGCAAAAGTCCTGTCATTTGGCGGCTGGGCTTTCTCAACGGACCTATCTACTTATATGATCTTCCGCGACGGTGTGACGTCTGCGAACGCGGAGACAATGGCGACGAACATGGCCAATTTTATTATTGAAAATAACCTGGATGGTATTGATATTGACTGGGAGTACCCTGGGGTGAGTGTCGATGACTCCTCCACGTTTATTGAATTTGTTCTAATACGTTTTATTCAGGCTCCAGATATTCCAGGCATTCCTCCTGCATCTCCAGATGACGGTGCAAACTACTTGGCATTCCTCACCGTTCTGAAGGGCTTGCTTCCTAACCAAACAGTCTCTATAACAGCACCCTCCTCATACTGGTATTTGCAACACTTCCCTATTCAAGAGATTGCTGAAATGATTGACTATATGATTTTGATGACCTATGATTTGCATGGCCAAGTAAGCACTATCGCTTCAAATTCAGAAACGTACTAATTATTAATAGTGGGACGCATCCAATTCATACTCTCAAGATGGCTGCCCAACGGGAAGTTGTCTACGCAGTGATGTCAACTTGACGGAGACATTGAACTCCCTATCTATGGTAAGAAAAGTCCACTTCACCGAGCTACAGACGAACAAACAGTCGCTTCCGTCCCAACCTTCTAAGTCATGTCACCCACGAAGATAAAAAGCCCAATTTCCTGGCGTGATTTTGGACAAACGGAGAGCGTGTTTGTCATACATTCTAAATCTTGCTATACGTTGCTTTGCTTGTAAGCTGCATCTAATACCGTTTTTAGATTACAAAAGCTGGTGTGCCCTCCAGCCAAGTCATCGTCGGCGTTACCAGCTATGGACGGTCCTTCGAAATGTCGGATGCATCCTGCTGGAGTGAGGACTGTACTTTCACTGGTTCCAGTTCTCAGTCGAATGCAGAAGAGGGCCCATGCACAGGTACGGCCGGCATCATTGCGAACGCGGAGATTCAGGGCATTCTTCAAAACGCTACCCGCGTCAGCCAGAACTACATCGACGAAGCTAGCAACACAAATATCCTTGTCTATGACGGTGTTCAATGGGTTGGATATATGGACGACAGTATCAAAGCCTCAAGGCAGTCTCTCTATCAGGGTCTGAACATGGGCGGATCCGCGGATTGGGCCACGGATTTGGTGGCTTACAACAATGTCCCATACCCGGCGATTTCATGGACCGACTTTATCGAAGATGCCAGGATCGGAAATAATCCTCTCTCTGAACCCGAGAACATAACTGGCAACTGGACTAGTGTACAATGCACTGACCCAGCCGTTAATTTTTGGGTTCAAGATCAAATGAGCGCAAAGCAACGATGGAGCGAAATGGACGGTGATGATGCTTGGGCAGACATCACAAACCAGTGGATAAATGTTGACCAACCCAACGGCGACATCACATTCATTGCCTCTATTGTTAATTCGATCCATGGCCCTGAGCTTACTGATTGCGAGTCGATCGGGCCGGATAACAACTGTCAAATGACTGAACAGTGTTGGTTCGATCCAGCGGGGTCTGATGGTTCACCAGCTGCTGGTGCAGTTTCTTACGAGATCTTTAATTCACTTGTTGTTGTCCATGAGGTATGTACCAAAAACTGCAGCTGGCCCATATTACGCCTGCCAGCTTACGCGAACGTGTTGACTGACAGTTACTCAGATGTACCAAGACACGTGGGATGCATTGTGGACAGCCGCTGCTATTTTCGAACCCAGTCTCACTGAGTTTGAAAACACCTTTGCGCCCGTAGCTCCGGAACCAGACGATACATGGCTTCAAATCCTCCTGGACTTTGTCAGTCTTGGAGCTACCGCTTTGGCTGCGCCAATTTTCAATAGCTGTAAGTGCCTACTCTCATCATTTATGTCAGACCAATGCTTACTCTGTGTATAAAAATAGTCCTTTCCAAGTTACCGTATTTCATCGCGAATGAGGCGACTAGTGCCACAACAAAGGACGTTACCTACGCTGCTATTGCGGCGGTAGTAACTGCAGGTAAGGATGTTGTCGCGGGTCAAACAACAATGTAAGTTTTTCAGGACCTTTCATTTCCTGATTCTCAAGCAAACCCCGCATCCGCTTTGGATGCTAACGTTTTAAACACGCAGAGGAACATGGACAGTGGCAGACCAAAATGCGTTTTCTACATACATGGGACAGATTGTAGGTGCTTGGGCGAATTTGACAGATCTAGCGCTACAAGAATTACTCTCCGGCTCCAACACCTCCATTCCCAATCTGGATACCCTGATCGCAGGGGGCAAACTCATCGCTGGCATGCCAGACATTGGCGATTTTCCGCCGGACGAGGAGGAGCTTACCGTGTCAATTACTTCCGCCTTTTATGCTTACGCTATCCCTGCTATTTGGTCAGCTGCGAGCTATAATGTGTTCGTCATCGACAGCGGAACCTCCTGCGGTACAGTCAATCCGATCACCCAGTACATGACTACTGAAGATCAAGAGGTCTCGTGGGGTTGCTATCCACCTGGGACCGGAGAACTCTACTACATCGCTATGCCGGTTACGAGTCAATTTATGCCCAATTGTGGTAGCGATCCACCAGATGGACGCTGCCCAGAGGTTCCGTTCACCGCGGCGCCTGGCCTTTCAGCTTTGACTGGGGGATCGGCATGGGGAGGCGTCACTGTACAATCTCTTATTCAAGGGTAAGTTGCACTGTCGCTTTCGACAATCATGACTAATAAAATTCACAGAGCTATTCGCAGCTATCAAGCCAATGACAATGCCAACGGTGGCAGCTTAGCAGACCCTAGCATCCAACAAACCGTTGATGATTTGTCTAATGGGAACTACACTACTCCTGGCTTTATCAATATTCCAGTGTGTACCCCAGAGATGGCCGAAACTGCGTCGGACGATAGCAGCACTACCTCGGAGCCCAATTATCCCTGCGTCTTAGTGCCCAGCCCGAATGACTGCGGAACCTCGACATTTACCGATGCAACTAGTGACGCTTCCCCACTTGTTACTGATTGCCAGCAGATTGTGACAAATATTGCTGGCACCCAGGGCTCGTGGGAGGTCGAATGCACGGTTGGTGAGCAGCATCAACTTGTCCAGTATGGAACTTGTGCTTTTGGGGTGACGGGAACAACTGGAACTGGTGATGTTGACTTCAACGTCGGCGCTCAGGATATTGTGGATCTTATCACTTCGTCAATTCAGATGTTTGCGTCAGGTAGCTTAGTAGGTGCTTCGGGCAACATGGCATGCCAGGGGGATGTAGGAAACGACAATGTTAACTGGGGGCTTTACCATACTTGATGAGATCAGGTGATCTGGAGGGAGAGAGGCTACTTCATGGGCTTGATACAGGGAGAAGAGTCTATCTCGTGCTAGGGGGAGAGAGGGAAAAGGGTGTGTCAACGAAAGTGGAATGACATAGTTACTTCCCAACTGTTGTTTGTCAGCCCGTCCTGTCTTTCATTGCTTTTTGCTATGTAAATACCGACAATAGCTAGAAGTCTAGATATGCGTTTTTCACTTTTAAGTATCTCATTACACGCCAGCCAAAATATATCCAATATAGGGCTGCTCGAAATCAGTTTCACTTTCTCGTTCTGTTTAATTCTTCTTTGAAATTTATTCTCAAACACGCAAGTCTTTCCTTGATATGATTCCACGAAATGTTTTGCAATCAAAAGTTACACAATCGTGGGTCCGTATGCCATAGGGAAAAATGATACAATAATTACTACTCCGCTGTTCATCTTTAGGCTCCACATACTCTAAATACAGTAGATATTTACGTTTACAGGAAATTAAGAAAAACATGATCTGAACGCACTTTTCAATACCAATTAATAGGATCATATTAGGAAGACAGAAGCCTTGTCTTAGATGCATCGGGGCCTGAGGTTAAATGACCGAGAGGATATGGTTCCCTGAGGGCTTGATGATCACACGAAGAGCGGGGTTACTGTAACTAGGCCAGCTGAAAACGCAGTTCTGACTAACTATTCTATCGAACAGCTAACCGGCTATAATCTTGCCCTTGGTATATCGTATAAATGTCAAAATTCTGGACTCAGATAGAACAGAGCCATAGTCAGCTACATTCCAGCGCTTGAGTATTTCTTAAAAAGCGAAGACCAAAGGGTTCTCCAGCCAACCGCAGGTACAGTTAAGCATTTCTGTCGGCACAAAGTCTTCAACCTATTATTTCGGCATCTGTTGAAGCGCTTCAACACTCATGAAAGAGACGGTGACCGTGGGTAAAACTGGATGATATAGAGTGCAAGCGCGTGGAGCGATTTAATTGCAAATTCAACCACAGGGAGGAATCATAATTTTGCTGCGTTATTGGCTTTTCAACAGTTGATGAAAGTTGTTCACCACACTCAACTTAAGTTTTTGAAAGGAATGAATCCGGGTCGGAACTTGAGTCTGTAGGGCACAAAGACTCCAAACAACAGTTCAACACTGTTTAAATCGCTATAACACCTATCAACGAGATGGTGATTATCGCTAGGATGTGCGCAACTGGTTCCTTGGTAGTGACGTAGCTGAAAAAAATATAAAAAGAGCCAGATTCCCAACCCAAAAAAAATAGGACTTCGGTCCTCACACTCCGATGTGCCATGGCGACCCTCTCTTGCTGCGGGCTTGAGAGCTTCCGTGACCACGGCTGTCGCTGCCACGAGGCCAGCGATGTAAGACTGTGCTCCCTCGCTGCCATGAGCCCCGCGAGTGTAGAAAGGTGCTTCGCAGGATAGGTCTGCGTCAACAATAATCCTCGCAGGGAGGTGCTGCGAAAACAAGACTACCTCGCAGGATGGGCTCTGCGTCAACAAATGTGCTTTGCAGGGGATTGCTGCGTTAACCAGGCCTCTAGCGACGTGTAGGCACCTCTTCGTGGTGTTAGAGACCAGTATTCGATATTCAACAGTATTCGAAGAAGCAAAGACCTGCTCAACCTCCTCATAATCTGTTTCTTTTTGCGAAGGATCATCATTAGATAGATAGAATGAGCCCTAGATAGATCGTCCCAAATTCAATGGCCAAAATTATAAGATAACAACGAAAGTGTCATTCTTATCAAAGGGGAGGTTCCCAAACGTTCTGCGCTGATATTTTGCGGTCCGATAGTCCTTTCGCGTAGTGAAATTGATACCCTTCATTCAGGCGTAGAGCAAACATGTTGGTGAGAATTGTGGAGTTGGTGAGAGTGCTGATGTGCTGATGTGCTGATGTGCTGATGTGTTGATGTGTTGATGTGTTGATGTGTTGATGTGTTGATGTGTTGATGTGTTGATGTGTTGATGTGTTGATGTGTTGACGTTGATGAGTGTTGATGTTATGTTTGATGTTGATGTGGTGAATGGTCGGGCGGGGAAGGGAGTGCTGGTCACCGTCTCACAGAGGCAACGCGGTCTCTTGCCATGTCCCCCACATCATAGAAACTTTAATTGCTTTTTTTTTTTGATCCTGCAAAGCAATTTTGATCCCTGTTGGACACGCCTTGACTACGGCCTCTAACTCAATTGAGATGATCTAATTCAAGAATTGTGTAACTCTGATCACGTAACATACTATACACTCAAGATCAGAACTACGAAGTGTAGAGCTATGTAATGTATCTCGAAATCTAAATCATAGATTCAATTTAAGATGATTATGCGATAGGTCTTAGTTTCTTACGTCGCTAAAGAAATTGCTTAAGATAACTATTGCTAGTCACTCGGACCTATTCTACACTAGAATGCCTACATCATAGAGCGATTACGAGAGTGAGAGTTTCTTTCTCGAGGTTAACATATCATTGGTAGCTTTGGCTCGGGAATATCTAATCCGCTCCTTCTATATATAGGAGCCGTCGCAACTTTGTGAATAATATCCCGCTAGTAAATCTAACCAACCTCTCGTGGAAGTCCACTACAGCGATAAAGAAACGGTCGTTACTTTCCGTAAGGCATATTCCCCACTATATGCAATAAATCATGCTCCGCTGCTAATATAGCATGATTGATTTCTAATCGGGGGCTAACGAGCTATCTAAAATCAGAACTAGTAAGACACTCTCCCTAATCAGCGCTCGAGACCTAGTGATCTATATAGGGGTGTTCTTATCCACGTGTGACCCTAGCAGGCATCCGCTTAAATCCTCCCTAAGCAAATATAATATAAGCGCTTATTAGGGTAGATAATTCGTATAGGCTGTACGGGACATTCAGAGGTCCTATAACCCGAGGGCTCTTATAGTGCTGTTATAGATATCAAACCCACCTTCATAGTGAATTACTTAACAGTGGTATGCTAGATATCGTCTTAGGCGCGGAGAAATACATCATAGATGGTCAAAGCACAGTTAGAGACGTAGAGGAATCGGTGATTTGCTAGCAAGACGTGCTTACGCCTCCAATTGCGATATGTTATACGACGGTCTTAATAGACGAAGGATACTAGATAACTTGACTGACCTCTAGCTGCTCTAACATTTAAGGTGTATAGACTTTGCACGTAGTGCTCGGGCTTAGATAGAAAAACACAGGCTTAGGAATGAAATCGCTAAGCTTCTATCTAATAGGGAAAAGCAAACAATCCTGATAGTATGCAGCTCCGTGTATATCCGAGTGGTTCCCGCTCGCTCGTATATATCGATAAGCTCGGCAACGCGGAGAGTAAGAGGGATTAGGGGAACTCTATCAGACGGGGTTCTTGGGTCATAAGTTCTCTCTTTCGTTTAGCCGTCCTCGGTCTTGTCTATCGATTCGAAGCTGACATAGCTATTGTTAGTTGATTCGGGTAGAAATGACGGGACTTTTGCCTCACCTTCTCTATGTAAGCAGTCCCGACTAACAACCTTGCTAGTACGAAAATATAGCTCTAGCTAGATAAAGCATTAGCTTCTCCCGGTTTCTTAGGGGTTTTAGGCTCTAAAGACGCTAAGCGCTATTAGAGAATAACGATGGTCACCCACTAGACGCTAGAGATCTAAGCCGCAAGTAGGCCATCCTATAAGAGGGTCTAAATGCCGGGAGACAGACACTGCTATGCGCTCTATTAGGTATGCATCAGGTAGGCATACCAACGCATAATCTAATGAACTAAACCTACTAGGAGATGGTCGAGGTAGAGACTCGTCGATGCCACCGGTAGTCATGAGGAAGAAACAGATCACGCGATAGTGATGGTGCAGGGGAGGTTAAGCAGACAAGACAATTGCTCGCTTCGAATTTGAGTGTGAGAATATAAGGGTGCCTCCTGTTGTGAGATCCGAGTCAGCAATTGTTGATCCAGTTAGACGAGGTGTCGTGCTTTACGTTTTTTATGAAGAATACCCCGAGTGTACGGTTGAGATAGATGGTCAATCGGGATCGTCATTATACCAACTAGATCACTGCCAATTCAGTTCTGCGATGCAGTCACCAATATGCCATGTTGTATCTAGGTTCGTCACACTCTCCGGCTGTCGCTTCGAGAAGTCGCGCTGGATGAACCGACAAGTTCACAACACGGCAAAGACGCATGACGAACTCACGTGTGACAAAAAATTGTACAGCTATATTAGGAGACAGCTTCGTGCAGACAGCGAGAGGTTGAGGCACTCCGCTGTTCATGGTGTGAAGGCGGTGAGGAAGGGGAAGACGAGATAGCGCGTCGGGCCCTAGGTCTTATCTGACTCGGCGGGAATAGGTTACTCGCCACAAGAATTGTCGCGGTTGGCGATAGGCTAGCTGCTCCTGCAATAGCATAGAGATGTCAGTGGTGTTTGTGTTTCCAGCACAGAGTTAGCACAAATCATCGGACCCGGCGCAGCAGGAGGCGTGATATTGCACTCACCTCGTCGTGCACAACGAACGTCTAGGGCTTATGCATCCTGCTGTTTGCCCGCGGCCTTAGTTTGCAGTATTTCACATAGGACATGTTGCATGGTTTGAAGTGATAGGGCCAGAAATAGCGTGTAAGCCATGACCCTGCGCGGAGCACTGACGGAGTGCTGGTTCGGACTCACTCTGGTGCGCGCGCTGTCAACGGTTTCCTGTCTATCGTTAGCTTGTCGATCGGCGAGGCAATGCATGACTCACATGTTCTGAAAGACGACACGGGAAAGGGCACCGTGGCTGGTGTATATTGGATGGAATGCGTGGATCTTTGTTTCGCATCGTCTTTGAAATCAGTCTAGTCTCGGATAGGTCGCACTAAGACAGACTTACCTCAACCGCTCTTTTGCATCGATATATTCAGGAGCGGACAGTGGTCGGCTGCTATGGTGGACAGATGCTCGCATAGGTACTTTGACTAGCTAACCCAAATCTGCTTCT